AGGCTAGGTCTTCAAGACCAGCCTGAACCACATGGCAAGACTTTGTCTCTCTAAAAAGAAAAATGTAAAAAATTAGCCAGTCTTGGTGGCATTCACCTGTATTCTCAGCTACTCAGGAAGCTGGGGGGAAGACCGCGGGAGCCCAGGAGGTTGGGGCTGCAGTGAGGTTGCACCGCTGTAGTCCTGCCTGGGCCACAGAGAAACACGCTGCCTTAGTAATAACAATACTAAATAAAAAACATGTCAGTTCACTTAAATAAAATCATTCCTTGTTTTGGCTACAAAGACTCAAATGTTGTAAAAATGTCAATTCTCCCTAATTCACTTCCAATCCAATACCAAGAGGATGTGGGGCGAGGAGTGGGTAAGGTGATGAGAGATGATGCAAATTCATCTGGAGAAATAAACCTGTGGGAGTAACCAGGAAACTGACCTGAGGACCAGGCAGACGCTCAGCAGATTCACCCCCCCATCTGGGCAGCTGCCCCTCTGCCTCTGGTCTGCTCATTTCTGGGTGGGGTGCTCAGGCCTGGAATCCCTGAACCACCCAGCAAACGGCCTGGGCCCTCGGCAGGTCACACTCCTCTTTTTCTAAAGTGCCCAGGGCTGTGGAAGACTCCCAGCCGGCCCCGCCCCTCCCAAGCGTGCTGCGTTGATCCTCAGTGCAGGGGTTTGTTCTAGATTTGGTTCTGGCGAGTAGTCACAGGGGAGCCCTGGATGAGGCTCGTGTTCCCCTGGTGAGTTTCCTGAGGTCCTTACAGGCACTGCTTCTCCCCAGCTGGCCCGGTGTCACATGAGGCAGAAAGTGCCACCCACTGCTTTCATCAGCAGCTCTGACTCTGCCCCTAGCAGGTGCCTCTTGGAATCCTCTGTGAACCCTGGGCTGCTGCCCTGCCATGGCCCTGGGTACAGTGGAGACTTATCCAAAAGATCCGGCTGCTTCAGCCTCATCCCTGGCGGCCTGTCCCCTCCCCTGAAAGCTGCACAAACATGCAAGGAAATACATGCAAGGATGTAGGTGACAGCATTGTTAGAAGAGGGCCGCAGAACACCAAGCTCTAAATAACCTGATGCCCATTCACAGAAGGTTGGTTCAGTAAATGCAGCATGCACTAGTCAGGGGCTAGAACCAAGGAGCAAAGGAATGGATTTTACTTAATAAGTAAAAGTAAATAAGTAAGTAATCATGTGGTCAGATAGCCAAGATACATTATTAAGTAAAAATGTCAAGTGGCAAAACAGATCTCAGTTGTATACTTTTAAAAATGCTTATATAGGTGTAGACAATTCTAGAAGAATGGCTAGAAACCCTTAGCCCTGATTGCATCTAGAGAACAGAACTGTGAAGGGAGAAAGAGAGACTAACTTCTTAACTATGCCTTCCTCGTTGTTGCCATCATGTCCCCTCTAGAAAGTATATTTAGAAGCTAACGTGGTGGCCAGGCACGGTGGCTCACGCATGCAACCCCAGCTTTGGGAGGCTGAGGCAAGCAGATCGCTGGAGATCAGGAGTTCGAAACCAGTCTGGCTAACATGTTGAAACCCCATCTATATTAAAGATACAAAAAATTAGCTGGGTGTGGTGGCGCGTGCCTGTAAAGTGCCAGCTACTTAGGAGGCTGAGGTGGGAGAATCACTTGAACCTGGGAGGCAGAGGTTGCAGTGACCCGAGATTGTGCCACTGCCTTCCAGCCTGAGTGACAGAGCAAGACCCTGTCTCAAAAAAATAAGTAAATAAAATAACAATAAGAGCTAGTGTAAAAAAGTGTAAGTTCAGGACCGTTCTCTGTTTTTTGTTGTTTGTTTTTTGTTTTAGAGTTAGGGTTTGGCTGTCACCCAGGCTGGAGTGCAGTGGCACAATCACAGCTCACTGTGGCATTGAACTGTGAGGCTGAAGCCGTCTTCCAGCCTCATTCCCGAGTGGCTGGGACTACAGGCTGCAGTGAGCCTGGCCTCAGCAACCAAGTTGTGCTCTTGAGGCTGGAGTGCAGTGGCGCAACCTTGGCTCACTACATCCTCTGCCTCCTGGGTTCAAGCGATTCAGCATCCATCTTTAAAGCCCTTAATTCCCTTTCCTGGAGCAGCACTATCTAAATGCTGGCTTTGGGTCTCTCATTACCAAGGCTCATACAAGGTCTCTGTAGACAGAGCCCCTCGAGGACCTGCCCCATCTTCTTGGGAGTGCGGACCTGGAATTAGGATGGGGGCTTTCCAGCCCATCTAGTGCTCATAACAAAACCTATGTGTGCAGTGACCAGGAGAAAACATCCTCTTCTCTTTCTGACTCAGCCCCTCTGGCCTCAGCACGTCCTGTTCTCCTCTTTGATCTCATGCCATGTTGGCCCAGGTTGTTCCTCCGAATGTTGCTTTGCTTCCTGCCATTGTGTGCACTCCCGAGTTACAGTCAGCCTCCTCCAGAGTGGTATCTGAGTCACACCCAGAAAAGGCATTCTGATGTCTGCACTGCCAAGCGGGGACACAAACCTTTAAATGGTGTCTGTACAAATCTCTTTCCTTGGGGTTCAGTGCCATCTTGCTTTCGTGAGGTCATTTGATACCTTCTTGTGTGATCTGAACACAATTCAGGGGTCTGTCACCTGCTGTAAATGTTAGACTAAGCCAACAGCACGCAGGTTCATAAGCTTCTGGACACACGTGACTGGTTCACCTCTCCTCTCTCTTTCTTCTGCTAGCAGAGGCTTGATCACCTGTTTCTCTATATTTCCATGACAGTTAGTCAGGGACAGGGACGGGTAAAATCTATACCGTTAGTCTAAAGATAAAATCTTGTTAAAGTCAGAAACTACCACCAAAGGTCGAAGTGGTGATAGGTGGAAAAAGGTTGAAGGATTCAAGAGGGTGTTATTATTTTTATGTGTGGACTTAAATTCCCCGCGATACCCTGTCATTTTCAAGCGAATTCCATGTTCACATCTACCCATTCCCTCTGACTGGTTCTTGGAAATCTCGACTCGTGGACAGGACAGCCACAGAATTTCTTTGTGAGTAAAGGTCCTCTCCTGCATTTTAAGTATCTTTTTAGTCTTTAATCCCCTGTGTAAAAGTTACAAGTTTGTCATGAACTCCTTAGAAATGTGTAAGCATCCTATAGATACATAACCCAATTTGTAAATATTAGCATAATCCATGCTCAGATCTTGCTTTTTTTTTTTTTTTTTGACAGAGTCTTGCTTTGTCCAGACTGGAGTGCAGTGGCATGATCCTGGCTCACTGCAGCTTCCACCTCTCAGGTTCAAGTGATTCCCCTGCCACAGCTGCCTGAGTAGCTGGGCTCCAAACTACTTTTTGTATTTTTAGTAGAGATGGGGTTTCACCATATTGGTCAGGCTGGTTTCAAACTCCTGACCTTGTGATCTGCCCACCTTGGCCTCCCAAAGTGCTGGGATTATAGGCCTGAGCCACCGTGCCTGGCCATTAGATCCTGGCTTTTTACATGATAACAATAATGGTGATGATGGCGTTGATACTACTAGTAACAGCCAGCTTTGTTTTGAGATGGAGTCTGGCTCTGTCACCAGGCTGGAGTGCAATGGCGCGATCTCGGCTCACTGCAACCTCCGCCTCCTGGGTTCAAGCAATTCTCCTGCTTCAGCCTCCTAAGTAGCTGGGATTACAGGCGTGGGCCACCATGCTCGGCTAGATTTTTGTATTTACTAGAGATGGGGTTTCACCATGTTGGCTAGGATGGTCTTGATCTCCTGACCTCATGATTCACCCACCTTTTGGTCTCCCAAAGTGCTGGGATTATAGGCGTGAGCCACCGTGCCCGGCCAACAGCCAACTTCTACAGTGTCATTGCACTTTGTGGATTATGTTATTTATTTTTTGTTTATATATTTTTTGAGACATTCTCCTTCTGTCACCCAGGCTGGAGTGCAGTGCTGGAAACCCCTTATAAAACCATCAGATCTTGTGAGACTTATTGACTATGGGGAGAACTGTGTGTTGGAACCCCCACCATTGATTCAGTTATCTCCCACCGGGTCCGTCCCACAACACATGGGAATTAGGGGAGCTACAATTAAAGATGAGATTTGGGTGGGACACAGACTCACCTTATCACACCCCTTTCAGAAATCGACAAATGTGTGTATGACTAGCAAGAGCTTCTGCTTGGTGTAAAGTAAAGGGTGTTTCTGAACTTAGTTGTATTTTCACGGATCTAGAACTGTTTCCCTGACAAATATTCCTGTTTCCCCTTTAATAATCCCCTTCATTTGCCTCTGCAGACACTTGGGATGACCAGCCACCAGGTGAGAGTCCTGTCCAGTCTCTTCAATTCCCACCTTTTATCATCTGGTTGTTCATTAGGCCACAGTAGAGCATTTTCACTTGGGGCTCTTTCTAAAACAGCTGCTGGCTTCCGGGGTGTGCTGTGATTATTTAATAAACAGCTCTTCAAGAAGGGGAAAGGGGCCCTGATTTGTATCAATGACTGATTTCCATCCTGTAAATACTCCTTCTGTGGCCAGTTCTACCTACCAAAGGTGCTGATATTGAGTGTGAAGGGGGCACACCATTATACAGCTGATGAAAGTGGCCTCAAGAGTAAGGTAACACAAGCAGGACATGATGGAGTTGGAGCATTTATTGCCTTTTAAAAATATAAATGAAGGCCGGGCACGGTGGCTGATGCCTGTAATCCCAGCACTTTGGGAGGCTGAGGCAGGTGGATCACTTGAGGTCAGGAGTTTGAGACCAGCCTGGCCAACATGGTGAAACCTCGTCTCTATCAAAAATATAAAAAACTGGCTGGGTGTGGTGGTGCATGCCTGTAATTCAAGCTACTTGAGAGGGTGAGGCAGGAGAATCTCTTGAACCCGGGAGGCGGAGGTTGCAGTGAGCTGAGATCGCGCCACTGCACTCCAGCCTGGGCGACAGTGTGAGACTTTGTCTCAAAAAAACAAAAACAAAAACAAACAAAACGAAAAAAAACCTATGTGTAGGTTGTATAATTTAACTTTAAATAATGGTTCTATTTGGCTGGGTGCAGTGGCTTATGCTTGTAATCCCAGCAATTTGGGAGGCCAAGGCAGGTGGATCACCTGAGGTCAGGAGTTCAAGACCAGACTGGCCAACATGGTGAAACCCCATTTCTATTAAAAATACAAAAATCAGCTGGGCATGGTGGTGTGTGCCCGTAATCCCAGCTACTAAGAGAGCTGAGGCAGGAGAATCACTTGAACCTGGGAGGCGGAGGTTACAATGAGCCAAGACCATGCCATTGCACTCCAGCTTGGTCAACAGTGCGAGACTGCATCTCAAAAATAAAGAAAAATGGTTATATTTAACAACTGGCTTGCAAAATTCCTAAAAATTAATGAGCATTTCTCACAGGGCAGTACAAGCGGTCTCTAGCATGGCACTGACTGGTTACCACTTACCAAATTCTGAAAGTCCATTCATTTATTTAGGGAGTCTAGGTTTTATATTTGGATTATGCTGGATCCTCAGAGAACTTTGTATGTGGACGATGTAGTTCTTTTTGGCTGAACTATACCGGAAGCCACTTTGTGTGTCAAGGGAATCCCCATCTGATGAAGCAGGGACTCCATCATTTGCACCCACTTGCTTCATTTGCACCCACGTGCCTCAAATCCTCGGTAAAAATGAGGTGGTTACACGTGTAGTGTACAGCAAGAAGATGAGCGATGAGTTAGCTCATAATCTCTGTTGCTTTACTGTCCTTAACTCAGGGAACACTACGTGTTAAGAGGCTATGTACCATAGTGGTTAGAAGTGTTGAAATAGACAGCCTGGGTTTCAATTCTAGTTCTTTCATCTACTTGCTGTGTGACCTTAAGGAAATTACTACCTCTCTGTCCTTGAATTTTCTAAACTGTAATGTGGGCATAATCAGTAATTACATATGGAATGATGGTAAATGTGAAATTGGATGATACACGTAAGGCAATTAGAACAGTGCCTGCTGGGAGGATTGCTTGAGCCAGGAGTTCAAGGTTGTAATGAGCTATAATTGCATCACTGCACTTCAGCCTGAGCAAGAGAGCAAGACTTTGTCTCAAAAAAAAAAAAAAAAAAAAGAAAGAAAAGAAAAGAAAAAGGCCAGGTGCGGTGGCTCACACCTAGAATTCCAGAACTTTGGGAGGTTAAGGCAGGAGGATTGCTTGAGCCCAGGAGTTCAAGACCAGCCTGGGAAACATGGCGAAATCATGTCTACGCAAAATATTTTTTAAAAATTAAAGAAAAGAACAGTGCCTGGCAAATACTACGTGCTCAGAAATATTTGTCATTTTAAGTAAAAGATACAAGCTTGAAAGGCAGAATGGCCTTAAAAATGGTGGTAAAACAAAAATTGAGAAATGAAAGCAGGCATGACACTAAACAGGAGTGTAACACATGGAATTTGCATTTCAAGCTGTTTCCTTCCAACAAAGTGCAATTGTGACGCTGTGTGGATGAGTCCCCACTGGAGTGAAGACAGGACAGTGAGGAGACTTGGTAGAAGGAATGGGCTCAGAGGTGGGAAGGCACTAAGTTCTCCTCTAGTAGGAATGGGAAATGATGGGAAGGATGACGGGCTGAAAGTCACCAAGTCTGGGTTACCCTAGTCACTAATGTGTGTCTCTTTAGGAAAGTCTCTAAATTTCTCTGCGACTTGGTTGCAAAAGGATAGGAGATGCCCAGTGTCCTTTAGGTATCACACATCTGTGATTCCTGACTGGTCCAAAGACATTCTTGCTCCTTCTGTGGCACAAAGAGGTTCACTTGATGGCTTGTTCCTTCTCCTGCCCTGCCCTATTTTGACTCATTTCCCTCCTAAATTATGTGTGTTGAAGTTGGAAGAAAAAGAGTCAGGATAGGTAAATAAAGCTTAGGAAGATGATGTATGACGGAAGGTGAGGTATGATGAGCCAATACAAATGATTAGAATCAAGGCCGGGCACGGTGGCTCATGCCTGTAATCCCAGCACTTTGGGAGACCAAGGCAGGTGGATCACCTGAGGTTAGGAGTTCAATACCAGCCTGGCCACCATGGTGAAACCCTGTCTCAACTAAAAACACAAAAATGAGCCGGGCTTGGTGGTGCACGCCTGTAATCCTAGCTACTTGGGAGGCTGAGGCAGGAGAATTGCTTGAACCCAGGAGGTGGAGGTTGCAGTGAGCTGAAACTGCCCCACTATACTCCAGCCTGGGTGATAGAGACTCCATCTCAAAAAAAAAAAAAAAAAAGATTGGAATCCATGTTTATTTATGATATTACCTTTAGAAAATGTGCCAAACCATCCCTTAGTTTGCTCAAGCCTAAGAAGTACGTGGTGTAACTGCCTGGAAAGCGTAATGCAGTATGCTGAGTGGTGATGAGTAGGCAGCAGCTCCTACGGGCAACAGCCGATGAGTTAGAAGCCCAAGAGGCCAATTCCTCTCCATGTCTATTAAGAAGAGTAGAATAAAAACAGGGGTCCCAACTGTGATGGTTAATGTTATGTGTCAACTTGACTGACCATGGATGTCCAGATAGCTGGTCAAACAATATTCTGGGTATGTCTGTGAAGGTGCTTCTGGATGAGATTAATGTTTGAATTGGTAGACTGAGCAAAGCAGATGGCCCTCCCAATGTGGGTGGGCATGATCCAATCCACTCAAGTCCGCAGCAGCACAAAGAGACTGACCCTCCCTTGAGTAAGGGGGAACTCCTCCTGCTTCAGCTGACACGTTGGTCTTTTCTTGCCTTTGGCCTCAGACTCAAGTATCAGCTCTTCTTGGTCTTGAGGCTGCCGGCTTTCAAATGGGAACTTAAACTGTGGTCTCCAGCTTGCCATCTGCAAATCTTCGGACTTCTCAGCCTCCAGAATCATGTGGGCCAATTCTTCATAATACATCTCTCTCCCACTCTCTTTCTACACTTGCACCCCCTAATTAGTTCTGTTCCTCTGGAGAGCCTTAATGCACCATTCCTGGAACCTGAGGGGCAGAGAGGGAGCTTGTACTCATTTGTGTGCTTGCTCGCATACTCCAAGCACATTCAGGAGTGCAGAATTCAGGGGGCAAGGGGAGGTAGGTGGTTTGTCAGGGGCAGAATCTCCAGCAGAGGGACCTGGAGGTTTTACTACGAGTCATGCATGGCGAGGCGATTGCTTTTGTTTTATTGCATGGCAGAGAGCAATGGAACTGTGAGAAAAGCAGCAGGTGTTAATGAGTCCATGAACCTAGGTTCAAATCTTGATGTGTAAAGCAGGTCAGGTTGCTTAACCTCTCTGAGCCTCAATGTCTTCAGTGGTAATATGGAGCTGACAGTCCCTACCCCACAGGCTACTGCAATGGTTGAATTAAACAATCCATGGGAAGTGCCTGGAATATAGTAGTTATTCCACAAAAGCTAGCTCCCCACTACCCCCGCGTTCACATGAATCACTCTTTATTTATTCAGCAAAAGGCTTATCAACCTCCTGTCATGTGTCAGGCACTGTGCTTGGTGTTGGAAAAACAGTAAACAGGATAGAGTCCTTGCCATGACTAGGGCAGCCAAAAAACACACCTATGTGTTAATAACGTCTACGGTCCTGTCTTGAAGACCACACAAGGTGAAGTGAGCTGGCATGGCTGGGTTGGGGTCAGGCAGGGCCTTAGCTCTGGGTCCAAAATGGCCTCTCTACAGTACTCACCTTTGCATTGTGAGTAAGGAGAGGGAGGCAGCTGTGATCCTGGGGAAAGCATCCTGGGCAGGTGAAAAGGCAGTAGGGGGCATGGCAGAAGACAAGGCTGGAGAAGTGGGCAGAGGCTGGTCCTGTGGTCTCTGCAGGTCTTGGTTAGGGGGTCGCAGTCTGAGTTTAAGTGATATGGGAAGTCTTGGGGTTGGGGAACACAATTAATTTACATGCTTATCATTCAGGATGGATGGTGGGAGGGAGATGGTGAAGGCCTGGGAAGAGCCGATGCAGGGAGACCAGCCCAGAGGCCACTTGAGGGATGAGGCCAGCTGGAATTCGAGGGTAGCAAAGGTGGTGCGGGGGAGTGGCTGAATTCCAGACACGTTTTGATGGTAGAGTAAATAGTCCTTGCTGATGGATGGGGTGTGCGTTGTCAGGGAAAGTGTGGAATTCAGGATGACTCTCAGGTTTGGTGCTAAGCAACTGATGCACGTGACTGTCTTCTTCCCTCTAATCCATGAAAACGCCACCGAAACATGCGTTTGCATGGGAAGTTTCCCAGTTAGTTTTTAAGACAACAAACAGGATATTAGGGCTGGAAGGAACCTCAGGAATCATTCACTGAACAGAGCCCTGGAAGGCCACACAGCAGTTTACTGCTGAACTGGCACCCGGTTTACAGATCCCTTGGTGTTGAGGCGAACACGCTCTGTTTAGCAAGGGGTCAAGAATCCACGGTTTAGGCACCAGGAAGTGGTGCTGTTTATGCATGACAGATAATGTACAAGTATAAAGAATAACAATACAAGAGAGGGTTGTGAACCTCCTCTGGCTGAGCATTATTCTCTTTGTGGCCCTTGAATGCCTCTCCCCAATCCCTTCTCTGACCTCTCTCTCACAGTTTTATCATTCCTTGGCTTTGCTTTATGGTTCTACTGCACGGTCGTATCCCCAAATAGTTGGTATGGTTTGGCTCTGTATCTCCACCCAAATCTCAGCTCAGATGGTAATCCCCATGTGTGGAGGGTTTGCCACTTCCTGGTAGCCTAAACCGTGGGTTCTCTACCACATCTTGACCCCTTGCTGAATGGAGTGTGTTCGCCTAAACACCAAGCAAGGGGTCTGTAATACCCACATGTTGAGGGAGGGGGATGACTGGATCGTCGGGGTAGTTTGACCCATGCTGTTCTCACGGTAGTGAGTGCTCATGAGATCTGATGGTTTTATAAGTGTTTGACACTTGCTCTTTTCTCCCCTTCTCTCCCTCTTTTCCTCCCTCCCTCCCTCTACCCCCTCTTCTCTCCGCTTCCCCACTCTCTGCCTCTCTTCCCTGCTTCCCCCCCACCCCACCTTACCTGCCACCATGTAAAACATGCCTGCCTCCCCTTCTGCCACGTGGAACTGTGAGCCAATTAAACTTCCTTTGTTTATACATTACCCAGTCTTGGGTAGTATCTTTGTAGCAGTATGAGAATGGAGTAATAGTATATTGTTCTGTGTGGTTTTGAACTTTACCTGAATGAAGTCACTGTGTCTTCTGATGTTTTCTTTTGCTCGACACTGTCTTAGATTCATCTGTATTGCTGGTTGCAGCTACTATTCACTAGTTTTCCAGAATCGCATTCTATTGCATGAACGAATTGGTTTATTTACCAGTTCCACTGTGGACAGACAGCTGGGCTATTTGCAGACGTCTGCTCCTTCAAGTGGTGCAGCTGTGGGGATTCTCGCTCACATCTCTCGGTGTACATGCTCAAGAGCTTTTCTAGGATACATGGGCAGGACTGCAACTGCTCATTGCTTATCTTCAGCTTTATGGGATAATGCTGAATTACTTAAAGAGATATTATGTTGGTTCACGCTACCTCCAGTGGCATAGAATTTCTATTGTTCCACATTCTTGCGGCATTCAATATTGTCAAATTAAAAAAATGTTGCCCACCCAATGAATAGGTACTTCATTTAGGTTCGTTTTCATGCCCTGGGTATTAATGAGATAAAACATCTTTTAAAATGTTTATTGCCAGCCATATTCTTCTGATATGAAATGAAACTTCATATCCATAGAGCATATGTTGGTGGCCAGGAGGTGTCATCATCACATTTTAAGAACTGCGTGTCTTTTCCCCAAAACTTGTTCTAACTGAAGCCTTCCCTGTCTTCGGTGATGCAGCTGTCCTGGCTGCTAAGGCCAGATACCTCAGAGTTCTCCCCATCTTGCCCCTTTTCTGATCACATTCCCCATGTGACAGGAAATCCTCCTTTCAAAACGCATTCAGAATCCAACCACTTCTCCCCTGCTCTGCTGCCTCTGCCCTGGTCCAGGTCACTGGGCTCTGAATTCCTGCCACAAGTCTTCCTCAATTGCTGTCCAGGCCCTCAGCAGCAGACAGATCACATCACACCTGTTAGTAAGCCACAGCGGCTTCTCACCTCTCCCGGAGCAAAAGACAAAGCTTACAATGGCCCATGTGGTCTTACAGGAGAACTGTGTTTAGGGATGTGGAAAAGAGGGTGTTAGCAGGGGTGATGGAGGTGACCAGGTCACCTGTCTTCGGCTGGGCTGCCTGGGACTTATGATGCTGTGGCCCATGGCCGTTGAGGGTTCCTAGGGGCCGTAAGAAAGGGCAAATTCTAATGCACAAGCACTTTCCTATAGCTTTGTATTTTCTAATGTCCCACTGGCCAGAGCAGGTCACCCAGCCAGGCTGATTCTAGGACTGGAAAGCAGAGTCCATTTCTTGCTGGGAAGAAGGACAAAGCCACACAGCAGAGGGGCAAGCGTATAGGGAGTGGTGAATGCGTGGCCATTCTTGAAGTCTGCTACCCTGGGTGTTACAACCACCAGGGGTGGGTAAACCTCCAGGGGTGACTGCATCGAAGAAAATTAAAAGGTCTAGATGGTTGGAGGGTGGCATTCCAAAGACGAGAAATACTGCATGCCTTCACTTTCTGGAATCCCTGATTAAACAAACGCCATACACTTTAAATCTAATGTGCTTGCCCTCTGATTTGGAGAATTCATGCAGAAATTATCCAGGTTCTCTAGGGCTCCAAACATTCTACAAAATAAAGGTGAACATTGAATTGAGCCAGTTGAAAATTGTTCCTGGATTATGATCAATGAGCCTGTGGGCACGTGCTGAGAACAAGCCTCAGGTTCTCTAGGTTCTCCCACCACCACGACGTCCAGGTACAGTCAGCTCATAGAAACCACGTGTTGGGGCCTCCGAGTTCACCAAGCATCATAACAAGTTTGAGTTGTGTGAAATGTTAACTCAAAATTGTGAAGAGAAATGGCAACATTTAAATTCACACATATTTGTCTTTGAAGAACTTTGCACCAACAGCATTAACTGTTAAATTTATTCATAAAAATCTAAATGACAGCTGGGCGCGGTGGCTCATGCCTCCCTCTAATCCCAGCACTTTGGGAGGATGAGGTGGGAGGATCACCTGAGATCAGGAGTTCAAGACCAGCTTGGCCAACATGGTGAAACCCTGTCTCTACTAAAAATGCAGAAATTAGCCAGGCATGGTGGCAGACGCCTGTAATCCCAGCTACTTGGGAGGCTGAGGTAGGAGAATCACTTGAACCTGGGAGGAGGAGGCTGCAGTGAGCCGAGATCGTGCCACTGTACTCCAGCCTGGGAGACAGAGTGAGACTCCGTTAAAAAAAAAAGTAAATAAAAATAAATCTAAATGACAGTTGAAAGCAATTTGTAGATTTTCACACTTCCTCACAATTCTCAAAGATGCCAAAAACAAAAATCACGGCCACCAGCAATTTAAGTCACTTCCTTGTCGCCAAATAAATCCCAAAGTAAAATTATAAACATTCCCCTAAATTCAAATTTTAGAACAAAAACAAAGATGATGGGGAATGGAGGGTGAATTATTGTGTTTGACATATTTGACGGTGCTAAATACACATATTACGTGCTGTTTAGGGTCCACTGAGAGTCATAAAACCGACCCTAGTGACGGAGCCACCTGCAGGACAAGGGCCTCGTGAACTCGGTTATGTTTTCCAGGTGGGGCAGCCCAAGACCCTCATCAGACCCAGAGAAGTCGGGTTTCCGCCCAAAGCCCAGTCCCAAACCACCGATTTCCGACCTTTCAACCTACTTTGGCAGAGCGAGAGTTTCGGTGGGGTACTCCCTGTTTCCCTCTGCCCAGGTCCTCTGAGGCTGAGTGTGGTACTGAGGACTGAGTAAGGGGTGCTGGGTGCTAAGCACTGAGTCCTGAGGGAGGGGCACCATGCAGCTGTCATAAATAACTAGCTCCTGTGAGGAGCAGGAACTCTGAGACTACGGCCGGGCCAGGTGGCAGAGGTCTCCGGGCCCTCGCCTCGTTCCCCGTCCCCCCGGGACGCCAGGACTGCGCCTCCCGGGCTTGGGTAGCCCCTGAGGGCGTGGCCCAAAGCTCGGCCCCGCGGCATCTAAGCCCCGCCTATTCGGCGCCTCCCGGCGCAGAGACCCGCCCGGAAGACCGCCAGGCGCGCTTCTGTGACGCGTCGGCGCCCTTCGTCTGACGTAACCTTCCCCGCCCATCCCCTTTTTGTCCCGCCCCCGCCCCGCCCCCGGCTGCGCGGAGCCCGCCCTCCCTCAGCCCGAGCGGCTCGCCTGAGGCTGCTGAGGCGGCGCCCGGTGTCGAGGTCGCGGTCCCTGCTCCAACCGCGGCTCGCGGGCCCGTGCCGGCCCCGGTCCCCGGCGCGGCCGTCCGAGACCCTGCGACGGCGGGCGATGGTGCCGCGGAGCGCGCGGACGCGGGCGGCGCGGCGGCGGGCATGAAGGAGGATGGAAGGGCAGGACGAGGTGTCGGCGCGGGAGCAGCACTTCCACAGCCAAGTGCGGGAGTCCACGGTGCGTGGGGACCGAGGCCGCCCTGACAGCCCCGCGCACCGGCCCGGGCCCTCAGTCCCCGCCCCGGGACCCTTCACCCTCAGGCCCGCGCCCCGCGCCTCCCGCCCCCCGCCCCGGCCTCTACGGCTCTCGCCCCCCTTCCCTTCCCTGCCCCTTTCCTCGGCTTCCCTTCCCCTGCTCCTTTCCTGCCCCGGCCTCTGCCCCCGCCTCCTCCCGGCTAAGCAACTGCCTCTCCGGCCCCCTCCGGCTCCCGCGGTTCCTGCCCCGCCCCCGACCCCGCCCCTCCCCGCGGCCCCTCTCCTGTCCTACCCTGCCCGCGGGGAGGGCTGCGGTGCGCGCGGCGCTCCGGGACCCCGAGGGCTTCCTTCCTGGGCTGGCGTGGGGCTTGCACCTCGGGGTGTGGACAGCGGCCCCTCCGGTGCGCGCCCCCGCGCTCTGCCGCCGGGCCAAGTAGGCAGGTGGATGCGCAGGCGTCCCGCGGAGCCTGAGTGGGCCGGGTGGGTCCGGGAAGGACAGGGCTGTGCGGAGCCCGCCCGCCTGCCTCTCGCGTTTGGACCCAGGCACCTTGTCCGGGTCAACACCTCCTGGCCTCCCGGCGCCTCGCGTTTCCCTGCCTCTTTCATCTTCCCCAGTCCCCACGTGGATTGAGTTCCAAACCTTCCCATGTGGGGTGAGAATATTGGTTATTTATGGGAGTGAGGACCTCAGCAAGTCCATTTTGCTCTGGAAGCTACTTCTTATGGAAGCAGCTTCCTTTTTTGCCCGTGTGTGTGCTGTTGGCAAGGGTCAAGAAGCAGACTTGACCTTGGAAAGTCTACTTTCATGTTTTTATCTTCATGATGCACCTAGAATATATTTTAATTGGGTTTATCTGTTTTCATAACTGTTGTAAAAATATATCCATTTTTTATATTTGTATTTACTCCTCCTAAGTTCTCTACGATTCAGTCACACTCTTGGTTCGAGGTGAAAAAATTCTGCTTTAGAATTGTCTGATTCGTGTACTTACTGATCTTGAAAATTGAGAATCACGTTGGAAGTCGTACTTTGAATAAAGAGGACATAAAAAGTCTGAGGTTGTGGAATTTGAGTTAGTGGAATTTGCTACAAATTTAGTTTTAACTTTTATAATTGAAGCTAAAATACACAGAGGGAAGTTCATATAATCGTAAACATACCCTTAAGATCATTGTATACTAAACACCTGTGTACTCCCCAATCCACCAGGAGTTTGAGACCCGTCAGCCTGAGCAACATAGTGAATCCTCATCTTTACCATTATAAAGAAAGAAAAAAGAAGCAGAATTTTACAAGCATCCCAGAAACCCATTCCTTTCCCCCTTCTAGTTACTTTCTCCTCCATGAAGGGTAGACGTTGCTCTGGCTTCTAACACCATAGATTACTTTTTGATTAGTTTTGAACTTTATGTAAATGGAATCTTAAGTATATACTCTTTTGTGTCCAGTTTCTTTTACAATGTTTGTGAAATTTCTCCGTATTGTTTGTGGTTATAATTCATTCTCAGTACTGTAGTTGTGGGCACTTCAGTAGTTTATAGGTTTTGGCCATAAATATATATATATATATATTTGAGATGGAGTCTTGCTTTGTCTCCCAGGCTGGAGTTCAGTGGCACAATCTCGGCTCACTGCAACCTCTGCCTTTTGGGTTCAAGTGATTTTCCTACCTCAGCCTCCCTGGTACCTGGGGTTACAGGTGCATACCACCACACCCAGATAATTTTTCTGTTTTTATTAGAGACAGGATTTTCCCATATTGGCCAGGCTGGTCTTGAACTCCTGACTTCAGGTGATCCACCCTCCTCAGCCTCCCAAAGTACTGGGGTTACAGGTGTGAGCATACCCGGCTGGCTATGAATATTTTTGTACATAGCTTTTGGTGGACATCTTTGTGCATTTCTGTTGGGTATAGACCTAGGAATGAAATCCCTAGGTTAGAGTGTGTTAGATACTTTTAAACAGTTTTCAAAAGTGGTTGTACCAGTGTACACCTCCACCAGTACTGAGAGTATCAGAGGTGTGGTTGTTTCTCATCTTTACCAACACTTAATATTTTCTGTCCTTTTTAATTTTTGTCATTCTAGCAAGTGTGTTATAGTGTTTATCATACGAATAATTTTAATTTGCATTTTCCTGTTAACTAATGAATTTGAGTAGCTGTTTGTTTTTTATCCATTTGGAAATCTCTTCTTAAGGGTCAAATTTTTTCCCCCATTTAAAAATTAAGTTTATTGGCCGGGTGTGGTGGCTCATGCCTGTAATCCCAGCACTTTGGGAGGCTGAGGCGGGTGGATCACGAGGTCAAGAAATCGAGACCATCCTAGTCAACATGGTGAAACCCCGTCTCTACTAAAAATACAAAAATTAGCTGGGCATGGTGGTGGCGCGTGCCTGTAATCCCAGCTACTCAGGAGGCTGAGGCAGGAGAATTGCCTGAACCCAGGAGACGAAGGTTGCGGTGAGCCGAGATTGCGCCGTTGCACTCCAGCCTGGGTAACAAGAGTGAGACTCTGTCTCAAAAAAGAAAAAAATTAAGTTTATCTTTTTTAATATTGATTTGTAAGATCTTTGCAATATAACATATTGTAATACAAATGGATATGATTTCTTTGTCAGATATACATACTAAACATATTTCTTTCCCACTCTGTGGATGCCTTTCTCTCTTAATCATCTGATGAACAGACAGTATTAATTTTAATATGTTCAATTTATTAAAATGTTTTTGAGATTTTCTTTTTTTTTTGTTTTTGAGAGGGAGTTTTGTTCTTGTTGCAATGGCATAATCTCGGCTCACTGCAACCTCTCCTCCCTGGTTCAAGTGATTCTCCTGCCTCAGCCTCCTGAGTAGCTGGGATTACAGTCGCCTGCCACCATGCCTGGCCAACTTTTACTTTTAGTAGAGACAGAGTTTCTCCATGTTGGTCAGGTTGGTCTTGAACTTCCAACCTCAGGTGATCCGCCCGCCTTGGCCTCCCAAAGTGCTGGGATTACAGGCGTGAGCTGCCGCACCTGGCCTTTTTTGAGTACTTTTTATATCCCAGTTAAGAAGTCTCTGCTTACCCTAAGACTATGATGTTGTCTTGTGCTTTTCTCTAAATGCTTTATTGAATTACTCTTCTCAAATTTGCAGTATATCTAGGATTTATTTTTTGTGTATGGTGCAAGGTAGGAGTCATATGTTTTCCGCCCACAGGAATGTCCAATTGCTCCAGCACTATTTATGATTTTTGTCATAGATAGGTAACACTATATTCGTAGGGTTTAATTTTAGAGTCTGTGCCATTTTATCTGTCTATTTGTCTTTGGTTTTATTTTAATTTTTATTGTGAGACAGGGTCTCACTCTGTATCCCAGGCTGTAGTGTAGTGGTGCAATCATGGCTCCCTGCAGCCTTGACTTCCAGGCTCAGGTGATCCTCCCACTTCAGCTTCCCTGTGGGTAACACCGCCCATGGGCACCGAGGAAGGAGAACTGTTTAGACCCGGCACAATTAGTGCCTGAAGAATATCTTAGTTTATAGTGTTATTTCTTAGCTATTTCCTTTATATAATCCTTTACATATAATTATATATTAGTTTATAGAATTAGTACCTGAAGTATAACTTACTGCTTACATATATCTAGCGCTTATATCTAGCATACTTAGTTCTATATAATCTTTTTATATAATTAGATAGGTATTGTAGTTGGAGCTGTACTGACACATTTAGTTCTGATTTATAGAATCCTTTTATATAACTATATAGTAGTCTGTAGTAGGAGGAATGCCTAGAGCAGTCACAGAACAGAAGCAGTACATGGGAAAACAGCCAAATCAGGACAAGAACCAAAGACCCAGGCGGTGGCGTTCCTGCCTAAAAGGGCATATGCTGTACGGCAGGCTTGGAGCAAGAGCCTCTCCTCCTGATAAAGGAGCTGTAGTACCTTGCATCCAGTTCCTGTGGAAAGTAGGCCTCAGGCCTGAGATCCTGGAAATAACCGAGGAAGAAGAACCCCTCTGGTGTGACCAGCCATGGCGGCTGTACACCCTGTCAGTCTTTTCTCCCTTTTGTGTTAGCTCAAATCATCCTCCCATAAATATCTTAAGAGCACAGGTCTATCAGCTCTCACTGCATTGGCTTACAGTATCCTTTTATTAGAAATCCTTCTTAAGTCTCCAACCCCTCGATAAGAAGTGTTACGCACGACACCTGTTGCACATGGCCCCCGCCTTGCCTCAGTGACCTAATGGGGGTAGACCCCTTTTCTGTACATGACTCTTTACTACTGCGCACGGCACAGCCCCCTACTGTGCATGGCCCACCTCTCTGCCCAAGTGACATAATGGGGTGGCACTCTTGCTTGTAACTCACGTGATTAGGTATGTCCTATTACTAAGCCTATAGATGATGACCTCACTCATGACCCTGCCCCCTGCTTGTACCTAATAAATACAGATGCTCCTGGGCATTTAGGGCTCTTGCTGATCTCCGCTCACAGGTGGCATGACCCCCCCAAGTCCAGAAGCTCTTCACCAGTTCTTCAGTGTCCTGTCTCTTTACTTCTTGGATCCTGCACCTCAGCACAGCACAAGCGACACCCTACGACCCTGTGGGGTCCTACAGCCCTACATTTCCAAGTAACTGGGACTATAGGCGTGAATCATACAGGTGTGCACTAGCAGACCTAATTTTAAAATTTTTTGTAGAGGTAAGGTCACACCGAGTTGCCCAGACCTGTCTCCTGGGCTCCAGTGATCCTCCTGCTCTTTGGTTTAATTAATTAGATATTCTAGAATTTGGACTGAGAAGGGGACTCATGTTAAAATAGTCCAGAGCTTTATTTATCCACTTTTGAAAACAATACAGTTTTTGTACTGATGATAGAGTTCTTTTAGTTCTGACTCTTCACCCCTCTTTTCCCTCAACTCGGCACCCCTGGCTGGTTGAGTCTACTCTGTCTAATATGGAACCAGCGCAGACAGTGACCAGGCTCAG